TCTCTAGTTCTGTGAAGTATATTGTTGTAATTTCAATCAGCATTGGATTAAATCTATATAGTAGTTTTGGAAGTATGGTGGCCATTTGAGTTTGACTTAATTAAAATAAAATGTTCAGCTCCTTAGTCCCACTAGCTACGTTTCAAATGCTCAAAGGCCACATGTAGCTAGCGGTTTCCTTGTGGACACTGCAGATTTAAAACATGTCCATCATTACAGAAAGTTCTATTGGAATATGCTGGACATAGGGGAGGAGACCAAGGTAGAAAGACCCTCCAAAGACCACTGACACTACACTCGTCTAGGGGAGAGGCTACCAAGTCATAAAAATGTGGGATGGGTTGGAGGGGCAAACGGAAAGGTGTTTTAAAGGACTCATCAAATGTCTAGCTAAAGCAGCAAGGGCAAAACCACAATTTCCTTATTTATTTATTTATTTATTTATTTATTTATTTATTTATTTGACTTATTTGGAATTTCTCTAGCACCATTCCGCTTTTCACGATTTCTTAGCAACTTGTTCTGCACACTATCAGGACACTTCCAGACAAGTCTTCACCTACCAAGATCTACTAAGCTGGGGATTTAGCTCAGTGGTACCTGCTGTCTGCCTCGCAATCGCAAGGTCTGGGGTTTAATCCCAGGTACAAAAAAAAAGAACTACTGAATCAGAAACTCTGAAAGTGGCCCAGCAAAGTAGACTATGAGGACCTCTGTAAACTAAGCAAATTATCTTTGGTCGGCCTTCCAGTACTAAGTTTGGGGGCACTGTTGAAATACAGGTACTTACCCCCCATACTACCCTTATCCTTCCATTCACCATCCGTGGATTCACTTACAGAATCTGTGTTCATTTTAGATGCAAATAAATAAATAAATAAATATACAACCCAATTCCCTGACTATGACCCCAATAGATGTGAAAATTACTGAAAATTACTTAAATCCCAAGAATATTTTTCTCCTCACATTGTCATCTTTCATAAGTTCTCTGCAATCATGGGAAAGCAAAGTTCACTCCCAAAATTTATGTATGTATTTATTTATTTATTTTGGTACTGGAGATCGAACTCGGGTCATTGCACTTGCGCAGCAGGCAGCGAAACCACTGAGCTAAATCCCCGGCCCCATTTCCAAAATTTTAAAACAAGCACTTATAATTCCATCAGAAATAACCCTTTGGCTGTTACTATCTAGGTTTGTTTTTTTAACTGGCAATGTATTGGGAATTTAGAAAAAGCATAAGCTTTTACCTTTAGTATCCTTTAAGTCACTGCATCTAGTGTCTGGAAATAAGTTTTGTGAGTTTTTCGGCCACAAACAGTGGACAACTCCCCTTAATATGACAGTGTGTGGGATAACAACAGCCAGGGTCTGAGAGATACTCATTATTGGGATGAGGAGTTGGAAAAGGCTTTATAGAGGGGTCCAGAGCATAAATAGGGTTTGAGAGGAAGAGAAAGGGGGAAGGGGTAGAGGATATCATCCCCCCGAGGGAACAAAATAAACCACAGCCGAGGTTTGAGGAAAAGTTGGACGGGGTGTGCCGTGATTCATGGGCCTCCTACAACAAAGACGAGGGAATTTGAAAGGTGTTACTTGCTAGAGGGTCTCTAGTTGTTGTCCTTCCACGTGGCCTTTCAAAGTAGAGATACGCTCCTAGGCACGACCTTCATTCACTCATTCATTGCACAAATATTGAGTGCCTGGACTTGCAGGCGACGGTCCCCTCCCTCCCTAGGACTCACCTCTGCCTCGCCGCTCCCAGTCTGGGTTCCCGGGCGTCCCCCGCAGAGGCAGTGGCTCACCTGGCTCCCCAGCGAGGGCCGGAGTGCAGGCGCTGGGGTCGCACACTGCTAGGGCCTGGCTGGCGGCGTTGCAGACAGAGGCGGGCGGTTCCCCAGCCGTTGCCTCCGAACTAGCGGGCGTTCCGGGCAGGCAGGTGGGGACGAGGGTGGGGCGAGGAGGGGAAGCCTCTCGGTACTTGTTCTGGCTTGGACCTAGTTACTTCCAGAAGAATAAGATACGGTCCAATTCTTCTGCTCATTGTGACACACTCAGCATAGGGACGGGTTGGTAATAGTGGGTGTACTTATGGACTTACAATACCTTGCTCATTTCCGTTTATTTTTTGTTTTTTTGGTACCGGGGATCGAACTCGGGTCCTTGAGCTTGCAGGGCAGGCGGCAGAACCACTGAGCTAAATCTCCGGCGGCCTCATTTCCTTTTATTATCTAGCACAGCTATTACAAAGGACACCATGAGGTGGGAATGCAGAGCAGTAAATCTTGGAAACTGGAACTAAGATCTGGGATAGGTCAATTGATTTGCCTAAGACCCATCCTGTTCTCTTAAAATCCTTTTCATTGAATGGCTCTTCAGGGCAAGAGTCAGTTTCAAACCGTCAGGGATATGGTTTTGTTTTTGTTTTTGTTTTTGGTACCGGGGATCGAACTCAAGTCCTTGCGCTTGCGCAGCAGGCGAAACCACTGAGCTAAATCCCCGGCCCCAGGGATATGGTTTTTTAAATTCTCAAAAAGGAGACAAAAAGAAGACTAGAGATGTATTATGTACAGGTATAAATTCCCTATGATGAATGTGATCATTGTGTATCTAAAATGTACCAGAAAATTTAATTAATTTCAAAAAGGAAACAGGGCAGACACTTTGCTGAATTATAAGCACTTGGGTGCAGGGCTTCACATATGCTTTGCAAACATGAACTACTAAGCTACATCTGCAGCCTAAAGATACATTGTTTTTTAAATTTTTTATTAGTCCATGTTTGCAGTACATAACGATTACATTCAACATGGGGAGTTGATACATGTACATAATACATCTTAATCCTTTTTGCTACCCTTCCCACCTCCTCCCTCTCCTCCCCCATTTCTAGACTCCATTCCCATTTGCAAAAAACCCCCAAAACCCTTTATTTTGCTCTTAAATTATACTTTGAGTTTCTCACATAAGAGAAACCATGCGATATTTAAACTTGTGTGTCTGATTTATTTCCCTTAACGTTATGGTCTCAGGGTGCACAAAGCTGCCCATTCTCTAAGCCTATTTCAGACGTATGCAAATAAACTCCCTGAGGGTCCGAGGACTAGGCTTTCAGAAACAAACTCCCAGGGTGATTTTTCTGCACGTAATAGTTTAAGGACTGCTTAGGAGAGTCTGCATAGAAAACCTTAGTTTTGGTGCAGGGTTAATATTTGCCTCTGGGGCTGATTTTGTCAGAATCCCGAAGGGCAAGCCATTTGTCCTTGAACAGATGGGAACGCAACGGTTTTCTGGACAGAACTGCCTCTTAGTGCAAATATTTCTTGGAAATTGCCGCTTACGCTGAGCAGGTGCTGGACTGCTGGTGACTACTCGCAGTTCAAAGACCTTTTGGCTCTTTTCCCGGCACTATTTGTCACTACCGCTTTCCTCCATGGAGCCAGGGATTTGCCTCGCCAACCACCGCGAGGCGCACGCGGCAAGAGCGGCTGCTTTATCTCCTCCTTCCCAGGTCGGCCTTCGCGCCCTTAGAACAATTTCTGGGAGTTGTGCCTCTGGGCTCCAGCTGTTGCTCTCTTCTCGCGAGAACTGCTCCTCCCTTCCTCTCCTCCCATTGGCAGGTTCCATATTGGGTAAAATCTCGGCTCGCGGAGAGTCCCGGGAGCTGTTCTCGCGAGAGTACGGCGGGAGGCTCCCAGTTGCTGGCTTTGGAACTGCGACCACTGGAGCCTGAGCGGGCGCTGCAGCTGGAGCGAGTGGCCAGCGGCGTAGCCCGCCGGCAGCCTACTGGCGGAGCGGGTGCAGGGGGAGCGCGGCGGGCGCAGCGTGGAGCCCCGGAGCGTCCTCTTTCTCTTGGGTGGGCTTGCTCCAGAGGCTGCAGCGTGTCCCGCCGCCACAGCTGACAGGGGCCGCGCGAGGGAGCCTGCGGGGTCGCAGCAGCCACACCTGCGCGGGCGGCCAGCGCGGGGTCCCCGCCGCCCCGCCGTGCACCGAGGACCGGGGAGCGGGCGCGGGTGCAGGCAGGGACCCCGCAGGGCCGCCGCCTCGTACCGCGGCGGCCGCTGGAAAATGTCTCAGGAGAGGCCCAAGTTCTACAGGCAGGAGCTGAACAAGACGGTCTGGGAGGTGCCCGAGCGTTACCAGAACCTGTCCCCAGTGGGCTCCGGCGCCTATGGCTCTGTGTGGTGAGTGTCGCCGGACCTGGGGCCACGGGGACAGGATGGCCCCCCATGCCCGAGGGCCAGGCCTGTCTGTCCCTAGAGTTCAGCGATGCGCCAGGCGGCAGGAATTTTCTCCGGGGGTGGCCACTGCTGACCCTTTGAGCCCTGCCTGCCAGCAGCCCTCGACTTGCACACACCAGGTAGGTGGTCAGCTGTGTGCAGGGCGCAGGGCCGCCGCGGGCTGTAGGTGGTGGTGCACACACTCCGTGCTGCTCGCGGGGCAGGTACCGGGTAGGGGCGCTCCCGGAGGTCTCCCTGCTGCAGTCGAGCAGCAGGATCTTCTGCTCCCGGGGTGCGCCCACCTGGGGCTCGGGAGCTGCCTGGAGAAGCAGAAGGGCGAAACGCCGCCGGAGACTGCGGTCAACGGAACAAAACTGGCGAGCCAAGGACTTTTTTGCAAGCCTTCTGTCGAAATCCCCCGTTTTGAGAAGCATTCTTTTGAAATTGGCACTTGAATTAGAAGCCACCCATAGAGTTTAAAATACCGACTTTATCTCGGCGAGCACCATGCCAGCTTGAGTGGTGTGTTTCCGATTCGGTTGAAAGCGTATTTCCTTTTCGGGGTGGGGGTGGGGGGTGGAGTAAGGCAGGGTTAGTGCCTGCCAGAAGACCGGAGCTTGAGAAACTAGCCTCGCTGATTAGTCACATACCACTGCTCAATTTTAGTATTGTTGGACCAAACAATTTTCTCATATGGAGCAAAAGACGTTCAGATCCGCCCGGCGCCCTCAGGATCAAAAAGTTATTAACAGTGCTGGGAAGTATTGTAAATATTTTTTAATTGAGACAGTTTCCGTGAATAGTTTTTTTTAAGGCCCCATAGAGAGTTTGTACGAAGCTTTATCGACATTTATTGCCCGAGGTACGCAGTGCTTTTCCTGCGGATCTAGCAGACAGAGCAAAGGAAGGGAAGAAATATTTTCCAGCTTTAATTTACACCGTGAGTGTGTTTTAAATGAAATCCATGCCATACAGTTTCCAGGCCTGAAATATACGAAGTACGAACTTCTCTCTAACTTTCAAGATTTTATAAAGTGTATTTTAGGTTTACTGTAATTTGAGAGCTCCAGATCTGAAACAGTGTCGGATTTAACTTGCTTTTTCTATGTCTTAGTACTTAGTGTGCATGCATTATTTGAAAAGGAGCCTGTAAAATTACTATTATTATTGAAAGAAATTCCAGGCTTTTGGATGTGTTAGTCTTTGTGATTCCTGTGTTTCTTAAAGTCATATTGTGCATTTCCTGTTTGTTAGAATCTTCTGGGTGCTTGAGATTGTGTAATTGTGTCCAGCAACAAATCATATTGCTTTTTCTTGTTCAAGCTGCTTAAGTTATGTTGCAGATGCCACTGCGCTTGACATTTTTCTCACATTTTTGAAGTATGACAGTTTACATTTTAAAAGAATTTGCAGTATTTTACGTCCAATATTGTTGACTTGGTAATTTTCAAAGATCTATTTGAAAGATGTATTTAATAGCTTGTTAAAGTATCTCCATGTTTTGTTCTTCGGTTGACACATTAATTGTTACAGTATCAGGTTTTTCTTTTCTTTTTTCTTTTTTTGTTTCCAATGATGCTTAAACCTTAATGGGATGATACAGTACATGAAGTACAGGAAGTTTAGGTGAGCTTTTATAGAACTCCTTGTAAGTTTTCTTACTTTCTGGTGTGACTAGTTCTGCATGGGAACAGAGGATCCAGGCCCTTATTTTTATTTTATGGTACTGGGGATTGAACCCAAGGCTGTGGCACTGAGCTGCACCCCCAGCTGTCCTCCCTTTTTAAAAATTTGATACTGGGTCTCCTTGCTGTCCTCCTGCCCAGTTTTATAGTGAAGTGCATTAAGATAAAATCCACGTGTCTTTAGTGCATTACTTTTATGTGGTATGGAACCCAGCAGTGTCTGAGAATTTGAAAATACTTTTGTTTAATTTTTTTTTTTTTGGTACCTTGGATCGAACTCGGGACCTTCAGCTTGAGAGGCAGGCAGCGCACCACTGAGCTAAATCCCCGGCCCTTGTTTAATTTTTTAAAATAGGCAATACGTTGACTTTGCATAGAATTTATAAAGGTATTTAGTGACAAATCTCCTTTTATTTTCCTGCCTTACTACTCTTTTCCTGAGAGATAACCCCTAAGTTTCTGGTGTGTTTTTCAAAGAAAGAATTTTTGGGTTTAGTAGCATTTTTTAAAAGGGATTTAAGATATAACCTATAACATATTGGTGGAAGAAAAGATAACTGAAATGATATATGACTATTGACTTAAAGAAATGTAAATTGGGGCTGGGGATTTAGCTCAGTGGTTCTGCTGCATGCCTCTCAAGTGCAAGGACCTGAGTTCGATCCCTGGTACCAAAAAAAAAAAAGAAATGTAAATTGATTTCAGAATGAAAATACCAGAATTTAGATTCATTTGATATTGTAGTTGTTGAAGTTGTTCTTTCAGTTAGCATCTTTTCAGATATGACAGAAAACATTTTTTGAAACTTTGAATCCAAATGATTTAGAGAATTTGCAACCAAACCTGATGAAAAAGATTAGTCAGGTTAGTGACACTGTTTTAGGTCAAATACCCGTAAGAGGTGTAACTGTAATGACACAAAAAATTTTTTGTGTAACTTGGTAAACTGGACCTGAAGTCTGTTCCTAAAAAGAACCTCTGACTTTTATTTTAAGAAATGCAACATCACTGAAATATGTATCAGTTGCCTGATTTATTTTTTTGCTCTGCAGTGTGATAACATTTTAAATTTTTAAAAACGTTTAAGTCTATTATTATCTCCATTTGTAATGAGTATAGCTGTGAAAAGGAACAAGTAGCAGCCTGTGTGATAACCAACTATGAGTCTCAAAGATCAAGGAGTCAGACTAGAAATTTGAGAATTTGTAGGGTTTTGCAAATACGTCTTTTTTTTTTTTTTTTGTACCAGGGGTCGAACTCAGGACCTTGCACCTGCAAGCGTTCTGCCACCCCAGCCCCTTTCTTTTCTTTTTTTGGGTACTGGGGATTGAACTGGGGACCTTGCACTTGTGAGCTAAATCCCCAGCCCTTCTTTTCTTTTTTTCTTTTTCTTTTTTGGTACTGGGGATCAAACTTGGGACCTTGCGCTTGTGAGGCAGGCCGCAGAACCACTGAGCTAAATTCCCGCCCCTCTTTTCTTTTTTTGAAGGGTAAAAGGAACTAAAACAAGTCTTGCAGTTTTAAGGAACTCTGTATTGTCTCTGAGGGGAAAATGAAGCAAAATTGTTTAAGAATACGTTGTTGCAAAGCATTGATTTTGTGGTTTTGGACAGAAGGGGAGAGTCTTTGTGGTGAGTTTGAGGAAATGTAAACAGGAACTTTAAGTGCCTTTCCTTTGGGGTGCAGTGTTTCCAGTCCTTGGTGTTAATTAGAGGAGATAGGGCTATGGCGGCCATAAAATAGGTGAGAGTTGAGAATTACTCTCAGATCATGTTCAACCATTTATTCAACAGTATTTTTTGAATACCAAATCTGCCAAATAGTGGGGAAAGTTCTTAAGATAAAGTGCTGAACCTATAGGATAGAGTGTTTAAGGACAACATTTTATGGATCGCTTACTATGTTCTAGGCCTCAGGCTGTGTACTTTTGTATTTATCATTAGCATATAAAGTGTAGAACAAAACTTCTAGTGAGAGGACAGCAAAATTTGTAAGAAACAAAATCGATTTCCCTAAGTGTCTTGTGGAACAAGATTGTTCTGATAAATACAATTTTTTAAATGAAGCTAAATTTTAAAAATTATTCATAGCAATTCAGCATTTTAAATCTTTTTTTTTTTAATGAGCTAGGGGCCATATCACAATTAGGCCTGCAGAGATGACCTCTTGACTCCCTTACTTCCTTTGGGTTGATAATAGTTCCATGCTGATCTTTCTTCCATTTACTTTTCTTTGTAACTAAAAGCAAAGAAGGTGATAGAATGTTATTTGTGCCAATCAATAGGATACATTTGGACATAATTGATGCAAAATATTTGTATTATTGATGCAATAAAACTTATAAGCGAACTCAAAAAAAAAGCTCGGTCAAGTTGGTTCTATATTCCTATTTTGTTTATCGAGTCCCATTTTCCAGTGATAGTTTTCCACTGGTCTCCATTTAAAATAAAGAATCTGCTAAGTCTCTGGCCTCGATCTGCCAGTTTAATCTCTTCATGTCAGGCCCAGTATTCTGATTTGGATCTCCCTCTAGCTCAGCCTCGGAGATGATCTGTGTTGGCTTTGCCTTTCATGGGCAGCTGCACAGATGGTGCTGAGCTCCTGGGTCCTGGGACTCTTAAGTAGAACTCACCGGGTACATCATTTCGTGTTGGTGTTACCTGACATTCATATGGGATTTGGCCTATATTTTATAAAGTGTTTTCATTCCAAGCGTTACCAGTCAGTGATCTCTAGTTCTATGAAGGCTGACTTATTTCAATTTATGATTATGATTATTATTTTTGGTGCTCAGCATCCACACTGCCACTGAGCTCCACCCCCAGCCTGAAGGTGAGGGCTATTAACTCAGTTTTATAGGTGAGGAGTTGGATTGCTCTTTAAAGGAAGGGCATGCTTGTCAGCACCACTTTGGTTTTGGGTCTGGGGTCTCAGCACTTCCACAGTGTCCTGTCCTGCAGAGGCTGATGCTGAGCTGTGATGCTGCCACCACCTCTTGTGCAGTTTGTCTTTGTGGAGAAAAGAGATGCTAGGCACTTTCGACAGAGGTCTGACTGTAGGAAAGCAGTCCCACTGTGCGCTTGTCCAGCCAATGTGAGGGTGATGACTCAACCCATTCCCGTCATGTCTGCTCCTTCTCAGAGTTGATAAATCAAAAATGAACTCATTGCTCAGCTAGTTTTTTTCTGAAAGAATTAGCAGTACAAATAGTCAATTCCTGAATTATGAATCCTACTGCTTTTAAATTCTTCAGTGTGCGTTTGTAGTTGGCACTGTCTG